TCCTGAATGAATGACTAAAAGTGGCACAAGTTGTGAAGTCTAAATACTTACTAGACATTGTCAAATGAACAAAATAGAAAAATGAGCAGCAGCAAAAATTATCAGCGTTAGCAGAAATAGAAATGACACTTGCTCAGGCATCTGACTCGTCAAACTGCACCAGCCTCTGTTGACCCGCAGAGTCCCTTGGCCAGTCACTTTTCTTCTGTGATACAGAGCAGGACTTTTCTCTTCACTTCAAGGACAGCAGGAAAAGGGGGTTTGAGGAATAAATCCTGAGACCTAAGGGACTGGTCCCTCAGTTGCAACCACTGGTGAGTGTTTTAACCACCCACCTTACACTGATATTTGAAACACAGCCTGCAGAAGGAGGCCAGCCTGCCCCCTGAATCTGACTGCTGAGCCATCTGGTATTACAGCTGACCTGGAAATCCAGTACATTTCAGACCTGTGTTACAGCTGGTGTGGGGAAATCTAAGAGACAGGTGGTTCCCTTAACAGCTGTATGTTCAGTTAGGGCCAGCAAGAAAGAAAATTTCACCCTGAGCATTCATTCATGGGTTCTCTGGGCTCTGTAGCATCTTGCTATCCTTTTGCTATAATAACCATTTTACGTGTGTGTGTGTGTGTGTATCAGAAACAGTCTTTAAACCATTGTGATGTCTCTCAATGTGTACAAAGTGCCACAGAGGGGAAAACACTAATTGCTACATCTAAGGGGCCTGTTTAGATTTGGAGGTCTGCATTTATCCCCAAAATTTCAAGATAACTAAGAATTGTTCTTATTAAATGAATCATTATATAGACCAAAAGAAGCATAAAACTCGGTTAGTCCTGTAAAGGTAAATAATAATTTTGATTCTTTTTTTTTTAAAATCACAAGAGGGTACATACACTTACCAGAGAGAGAGTGAAAGAAAGCACCTCAACAATGGGACGTGCTTATATCACAATCCCTTCTCCTCCATTCCTCTCTCCTGTTGGGATTTTGGGTATGCACATATGTGCACCCTGCCAGTTTTTGTTTTATTTTTAATAATTATTTTAACTTTATTATTATTATTTAACAATTTGACCAGAGAGAAACAGAGAGAGAGAAGGAAATGAGAAAGGAAGTCACTGCACTTGAGCCACAGTTGGCCACAGAGGAGTCCAGTACCTTTAAGTCCCATGCCACCTGCTGGACCCAGCACCCTGCATGTTTTTCAGGCCTCTAGAGCTGGGAACCCACAGTTCTGCGTGGGAGATCTGACTCTCTATGCACAACACTTAACCACTGTACTATGAGGCAGTCCTGATTCTTTTTCATTTGTTTTGAGTGAACACTTTAGCTATGTACTCACATAATTGTTCTGTTTTATTTTGGAAGGGGGTGGATTTTAGGCAGGTCTAGTTTCTATTTACTAATTTGAAGGCAGTGAACTAAAATAACTAAGATACAGAGAAAATAAGATATTTTCTACTAAGTCATTTAAGAACCAAGTGTATGGAACCAAAAGAAGACTCTTGGGTAGTCCCAAGACCCCCATATTGGCACAAGTTCATTGCATGAACACACCCAGCCAAGACTGAATAGGGGCAGAGATCCTACCTAGACTCTGCCATTTGTTGTGGCAAGGAGCTGTGACCACCTGGAGATGAGACATCTCTTTTGAATTCACATGAAGGTTCCAAGTTTGTTTGCAGAGCATGGCACCTGTAGAGCTAAGCCGTTGAGGTAGGACAAATAGTCAGTGAAAGAAGTGCTATCACCAGTGTTATTATGTCTAGGACATTCTCCTATGTGTTACGCTAAAACTAGAACTTAATGGCATATCTTAAAGAATTTTTATTTAAATGCAGTAAAGAATTGAGAGCAATGCATAATTGGAAAAGGATTCGTAGTGATAAATCGCTGAGTTCACTCAACCAGCTGCACAGGCAGAATGGACTCTGGATGAATTTAGTACGATTTTGAGATCTGGAGTATCTTGCCTTCTCCTCTTCTGTATATTAGATTCTTCTTTTCATTCCTTTCCCCTCATCACCTGTCATCACATACTGCTTAGACACCAGCTTCAAATGTTCTTATTAAAAACTGAAAGCAAAGCTCACCCATTTTGTATTCACTAAGACAAACTTTGTTCAAGAGAACAGTACTTAGCCGAATTCATACTAAGATGGACATAGTTAGGAGCAATCAGATTTCTCCTTCCTCAAGGGAAGTATTTTAATATTTAAATAGCAAGTGGACTACATCTCCCTAGTGTATTCTCAGGTAGTAGGAAATGGGGACCGGGGTGTTTGAGTGTCAAAGACAAGAAAACATCCTTTATTTCTAAGATCACTGTGTATTGGTCAGAGCTTTTAAAGTTGGCCCAACATATATACAGGGACACACCATTTCCTCAGTTTACATCATCTTTATTTCTTACTGCTTTTGTCCTATCATTGTGTTTAGTTCCCTATCTTCATTTTCCCTATCATTCTTTAGGTCAGCCAAAACTTTCTATGGTGACTTCTGAGCAGTGCCAAACTGGCATTTGTTTTTTATTTCATGAGTTTACTCTTCCTTAATTTTCTTCTTTTCTGTCAAGCAAACTGCCCCATCCCTAAATCTTCTTGTTTTAAATACCTCACCCCTGAAAGCTTCCTGCTTGAAAGTGTCAGATTCTGCTTTATTATTTACTTGTTTGTTTTAATTCCAAGAGGGAACTGACAGTCACTAGAAGGAGAGAGAAAAGTCATGCCATTAGGGTGTTGTCATGCCCCCATTCTTTTTCCTTCATTTCTCCAGCCATCAGGATTTGGGACAGTCTCACACACACACCCGCGCACACACACAATTGGTTTTCAAGCATGTGGGGGTCTGGATTGGAACCACAGTTGGCTGTGTGAGATCTAGCTTTCCATGCTTAACTAGTGGGCTGCAGATTATGCCCAAATTCTTCTTCATTCTGTGAAGCTCTGATTATTAAGTAAGATAGAAATTCAGAAATTCAGAACTCCTCTGTTGCTTCTTTATCTGGAAGTGAACTCCATAAGCGTGGAGAGGAAAAGAGAAGCTTAGTGTCTGTTTGCTAGAAGCGTTTAGAAGATGTTTTCTGTTTTTCTTTCTATACCAAGCTGAATGAAGGATGGTTGGTTTATTTCTTCTTATAAAAATGGTTATGATGAGTTACTGGAAGCTAGGACTTTACTTTCCTATTAATATTTAAAATTACTCTTTGATTTGAAGCAATTTCTATAACATTTCGGGAACTTACATTATGTAAGTAAAACTGAAATCTCTAGTTAAGCTGATTAGTTCAATTTTAAAAAAACTACTGTCATGTAGCATCATCAAGCGAACACCTGGTCAAAGAAGTCAAAATAGCTAAAGGAAAACCTCGTGAGAAAATGGCCAGTCTATTATTTAAAGAAAGTTTATCATTTAAAATTTCCTCCATCATTCAAGTGATTTTTTTAAGGGTTTTGTGATCCTTGGATCTATGGACTTTCTTAAATGCCAAGATGGCAGCACTCTACTATATCTGAAAGTTGAATGTTTTTGCATATTTAATTTCAGTAGACTCCAACTAAATCAAGTGTAAGACAGTGAGGTTCCAGGTTTTTTGTGTTTGTTTTTTTTTCCAAGTGAGAAGGAAGCATCTTAAATACCTTCAGGAATGGTGTGTGAATGGGATTGCACTTTATTTTCTTGTCTTTTGCATGAGTTTTTATGTTGAGGATTCAGACTGCCAATGTGTGATTTTGATCATTTGATAGCATGCAACACCAGCTCCATGCTCTGCAACTGGGACATTGTGTTCGGCTATTTCTCTTATTTGCATCATTCCCCTAAATAGAACTGATATTGATGCCTAAGCCTGCATATTGCTGTCATGCTACTTGCTGTGCTTGGTGCATGAGTACCACTCAAAGCTTTTTGCAGCCTTTTCTGGCTCTATGTGTTAAGATCCTTTAATAAAGTTTTGAGGTACATTATATACTATCTTGAAGACTGCATCCATTCTACTTTTTTTTTCCTCAGTCCAATTTATACCAAAGACAGCAGCTGAGATCAAAGATAGTATCTTTTTTTCTTTAACTTTCTACAATATTTGTATACCCCATATTTCCAAGTGTGATTGTGCTAAGAAACAGTGCGCTGATTAACAAATTGTTAACCAGAGTCCTTATCTACAAGTTGAAGAAGAGGTCAGCTGTCCTTCAGCAGGCAGAAACAATGACCAAAGGTTTTAACACTAATTTGGTGCGGGAGTTTGTTTGGAAAAGAGGGTATGTGCTGGCCAACTCTGGAGGGGCATTCAACCTCAACTCCCATCCATTCTTGGAAATGAGGAAGTAAGCGTTTTCCAAGTCGGTGTGCCACTGCCCTATTTAATACATGGGCCAGAGTCTACTAATATCTGTTTGGGCATGCGTTGTCACTTCATTTCTAAACTGATTAAAACATAGTCTTTCATTTTGGCAAACAAGGATGGTGTGTCATATGTACACAGCTTCACATTATGTACTATAGTGGAAATAAGAAAGAGTAAGGTACTATCCAAGCTTTCAAGAAGCTCACGATCCAATTGTCTGAACTTATGAATATAGAAAGTGTTTTATGAGTGTGATGTAGTAGAGATATCCTTTAGGAAAATTAAAGTTAATGAAAGTTTATACTATTGTTACTTTGATTAAATACTTCTCTTTTTGTAACTGCTATGCCACAAATCCCATTAACACCTCACCGAACCCAGTACTGCTTCCTACCCCTATTCCTGAATAGCTGTATTACAGAGAGTTGGTAGAGAGTTATGAATTGATCTCCAGTGTGGACAAAGCTAATAAATATAATTTATGAAGAAAGGCACTGTGTAAATGCTTGAGATGTTGCTATTACTGTTCTCATATGCTTTATTATTTTTAAATTGTGCATCCTTTTAAGTAGATTATTTGTTCGCCACAGTCTCCATTATATCTAAGCAAAGCATTCACAGAGATTTCTAAAACCTTTTCATTTCTCTCTGTAGGTTGTTGTTTCGTAACATTTTATACAAGAAAAGCTGCACTTGAGGCCCAGAATGCACTGCACAATATTAAAACTTTACCTGGGGTGAGTCGGTTTACTTTTGTACCAAAATCACTTTATTGCTTGAAAATGGTCCTTTCAACTGAAGGTTCTAGTTATGGGCTCTTAGTGCCAAAAATGACTTTGGTCTTTTAAGAAGTGTTTTCTGACCCCTCTGTTTTCTGCAGCAGCCAGACCAGCTGGCTGGCCCATAAAGAAGTGCCAGCATTAATGCTGACAGGAAGAGCTCTCAAATAGCATGTCCCCTGGTTAGAAAATCAGAGTGACCCTACTGGGTAGCTGTGACTGCCAAAGAGTGTTGGGTGGGCTAAGATTTTAAAAGGAAAACACACACACACACACATACACATACACACACAAGAGAAGCAAATGGAAAATGAAAAGCTTTTACTCACCAGGAGCCTCTTTTCAAATTTAGCCTTTAGATTTTCTTTTGAAAGGACAGAATGTACCCTGTTCAGCCATAATATTTAAGCCTCCTAATGGTTTTTAAACAGTCGATGGTGGTTAACAAAGTCAATGTTTTAATGCCCAATTTGTGGCTTCATGTTGATATAGAACAGAAAATACAAAGCTTACAATTTCTTAACATTTCCTTCCTACTAGTATTTGATGATTAGTGCAGTCCCTAGAAATAAAGCGATGTTGCACATAGCAACTTCACTAGAATCCATTCCTAAAAAATGTTATGACACTGGTATATATTTCATGTTGGTATCATTGTCCCTGTGTTCCATGGATATTTTCACCCTGGATTCAAATCAGTAATGAGATCATTCAATACCATAATGATGTGTACTGGTTTATAATGAAGGGTTTATGGGAATCAGTACAATGATAATAATTTTATTGAAACCTGGTTTGGTAAGAATAAAATAAATATAATGTACCTAATGTTTCAGGGTGTAAGTCTACCTTTGTGTCATTTTTCTGTCCTTGCACACATGCACAAATCTGTGTGAAATGTGTTTGTACACAGTAGCCTATGTACATATAAGCATCTTATTCTCAATTACCCCCAGATAACATAGCGTATGTTTAATTCACCTTAGATCTATTGAGAATGTTGAAATAGTGGGAAGATGCTTGACAAAAGGTTTTCAAAATATTAGCTTTTGAATCACCCAAAAGTAATAAATTTTGAACTTTGGTCTTGAATTATACCACTTTAGTTTTCCCCTTTTCAAGTGGACAAATCAATGAATACCAAGTTTTAAAAAAAAAATGTGTGGTGACATATTTAATTCTCCCTCCTGATTTAATTTCTCTACTTCTTCCTACAAATTCTAAAGTGTTTCTTAGTAAGACTGCTTTTATTAAGTCTATGTGCTTTGCTCAGTGACTTAAAAAAGATAGTATTATTTCAGCCTCATTCTCCATGTAAATGGAATTTTTCCAACGTGAATTCTTAAGAGATTGTGGTATTAGGTCACATTATTGAATGAAGCAACCAAGACAAATATTTACTGGCTCAGCCAACAAAAGAAGAAAATAATTTTCATTTCCCAGGCCCCTAATCAAACCCAAAGAATCACTTTGTATCCTTTCTTCTTAAAAAAGAAATACTTTGGCTTGGGTTGTCTGAAATGTCATGACATATTTTTGCATAGGAAAATAGAAGAAAAAAAAATCATGACTTTTCCTACAATCCAATAATAATTAGCACACAAAATCTCTTCTTGGTGTGCTTTAAAAAATTACTTGAGATGATGACTCATTATTTAGCATTTAAAGCATAGTATAATTTGATGCCAAATTGCATAATATTTCAAATGAACATGAAGCTTGATTAATTGAGATTAATCCACTCTACTAGAAGCCCAGGACCCAACGTGCCATCTCTATGTGTGAAGGTGCTCTCCTGGAGCCCAGAATTGATATGATGAATGGGCAGGCTTAGATGCAGAGAGGTGACTAACAACTCTGCTTCTGTTGGGGATATCTTACTCCGACCCTTTTCTTAGCCAACCAGTAACATCTACTTTTTTGTAATGTTGCATGTGTTCTTTTTCTTTTTAAAAATTTGGCATGTGGTGATTTGGGAGACCCATTGTGAAGGACAATAGTTTGGAAGTTGGGAAAGATATTGGATTGTTTGCATATTTCTTTTTAGTCAGTTAAATTTTATATGCTCAGTGACTAGCAGCAGGTTAAATGAGGATTTGGGAAGTCAGATCTGATTTATAAGGCTCTAGCTTTTTTACTATGTACAACTTGCTACATTTGCCATTTCAAATATGGTAACTCAATGGTAAATGAGGACAGAAGTCCGTATCTTGCATTATGTACAGCTTTCTCTGATAAACATCACCCTTAAACAACTATGGGAAAAACTTGAAAGCAGTTGCTGTTCAGCTGGGAGCCTTTGGTGGACAGGAAGAAATGGGACCAGACATAAAAGATTAATGAATATTCTTGAAAAAAAAAATATTACAGGGTACCTTGCTGTTTGATTACAAGCCTTGGAATTAGTCAACATTTCCATAATTCTAAACCAATATACACCTGTTTTCCCACTGTGATGTGAAGGCACAACTTAATTTAACAGAAACCCTGCTGTGCTAAATCTCTCATTAAATACCAAGTGAGTTCGGTAATTTAAAGTCGTAGCACTACTATTTTAACTGGTTGCCTTCATATTATGAAATTAATAAGAAATTAATGATGCACTTTGCCATATGCCTTCAATTTCTTTCTGAATAAAAATAAAAGGGATAAAGAAAAATGCATCACCAGCTGACACTTTAAAGCTTTTCTGGTTGTAATCATTTTCCTGTGGATAAAATCCATTAAAAAGGCACTTGCTGCCTTTTTTCTACAGTGTCCAAAACTTTCCATTTAAAACAAGATCAAATAGTGCTGGGGTTTTTTTTCTATGTAATTTTCTTTTGCAGTTGATGTTTGTATCATAAGGAACTTTCATCATGTACCCGAACTTGATTAAGGTTTAGGAGTTTGTGGTCCCCTTTATGCACCATCTTCCTTTCTTGAGGGCAAGAAAGAGCTTGGCTAGCACAGGAGGCAAAAACAAACTGAGACCATTATGCAGTCAAATGTGTCTGCTCTTAAATTCTGACTTAAAGGCATCCTCCTTTTCATGTCTGGCATGAATTTTAGAGACCCTTTATATGGAGTAAAAGTGGTGGGATTCAGGTGAGGAATCAGGGCCCAACTGAACAGTGCGAAGTTCGAGGACACATTTCTCAAGCCTACTTCCTACTGTGTAACGGAGAAAAACACAGGGTCTTATCTCCTTTGAAATGCTCAACATAAATCCTACAATACAATAGTAGAAATAAAGGCAATAAATCCTACAGCTCAACACAGAGAGAAAGGAATGAGAGTCCGAGGTCCTTTTCCTTTGTTTGATCATGCTGTCCTCAAAAAATGGTTGCTTGATGCTTATGCATGGATCAAACCTTTGATACAATCCCTTTTTAATTACTGACATTCTGTAGATTGATAAATTTCAAATGCTTAATTGAGTGCCTACTATGTGCCAGGCACTTGGCTAGGTGTTGACAGGAAATAGAGATCAAGCCCGATGGGACCGCTAGCTATCGTAGCTGGAAAGATGAACAGTGGATAGGTAATTAATACTTTCCTAGTTTATGTTTTAGTGCTTTTCTACTTCTGACAGAATACCAGTCACACACACACACACACACACACACACACACCCTTGAGATCTCTAGTGAGCAGGGTTTTTATAGCCTGGTAAGAATATAACCAAGTCTACACAGGCTGCTGGGCTACCAGATGAGCCTTTGGGTCTGATACAGCATCATTAGACTGACTTTTTCCAGTGCCACACCAGTTGTATTCCTGGACAAATTTTAATTGCCTCTGCTTTGTTGATGTTGCAAATTGGGTTTAGAGATAACCTCCTTTGTTTAGGGTTTCAGGTGGGAACAACCTGACTAGTAATATTATTCAGCAGAACTGTCATTGTCTGCCATTGTGTTTCCCAGAGAGAAATCCTTGGAAAGGCATCTTGCAAGATTCATTTTGTTTTCGTTGACCTAATTTAGCTCAATTAAAAAATAAAGACTGTAATGAGGCACAAAAAAACTACCAAGATTTTACAATAATCAGATGTGAGGGCCAAATATTCTTGTGCCAGCGACAGCTCTATGCATTATGTCATTTATTTTTTAAGGTCTTAACACATATTGTCTCTAGCAATAAGACTTTTTGATTGAAAATCTACAGCAGTATCATTAGAGCATTCACTGTATAAATTAATTTAATTAAGGATGTAATAAGAGAGGAATACAGTTTTGAAAAACCTCTTAAATTTTAACAGCAAGGAGGAATCTGCAGAATCTAAATGTCTTGTAAAATATTAATTGCAAATTTCTTCCAGACATTTTCTCTCCATACGCCTTACCCTTTTCTTTTTAGAATCACTACCAGTTTTATTAAATGCAGTTTATATTAAGGAGTTATTGCCCTAAGAGAACATTTGTTTAGAGAGCTCTATTTTGGCAGTGGCATACTGAAAGGTGGTTTATAGTAACACATGCAGTGTGATCAAGAACTACATGTAGATTTCAGATATTTAAAAAAAAAAAAAAAAGAGCCTGATCCAGTAGGAAGCAGCTATAAATAAAATGGCCCCTTGGGGACAGTGTGTTGACCCACATGAAGTGAATGGGCCCCTTCTTGGCTGACTCTGAAAGAGATAATTTACCTGTGTGGGTAGATGCTCTCTTTCCAAGTGGGCTTTAACTCAACTCTCTATAGATTTGCCCCGGTGTTCTTTAATAGTGGTGTGGCTAGGGTTTTTGTTTTGTTTTGTTTTGTATTGTTTTTTTTTTTCAATAGAACACCTCAGCTCTCACTGGGTCTAAATTCAATTTGCTCATTATAATATATTTTGGGGTTCTCATTTTCTTTGAACCACCTCCCTAATTATCAGTATGTATTTAATGCCTTTTTTTCTTCATAGCCGCATTAATGTAATTTTGTCGTCATCATCATTGTTATTTCTGTCATAAAATCTCTTAAGTCTCATCATCTCA